TACATGTTTTATAAATCAGCGAATTGTTGAAAAAGCTCTAAAACTTAAGAAATTTTACTTATCATTCGAAGAGTTTCTAAAGTTGAAGAGCTTTTAAAGCTTAAATAGCATTAGGAGCTCTTCAAGTAATAAGTAAAAATTTAGAACCTTTCGTATGAAATCCAGCACCATTTAAAAGCTAACAAAGCTACATTTTCCTTTGCATTTGGTTTTGAAAAATTGTTAAGGAATAATAAATATAGCGACCCTATTTAGGTGTTTATTTTCATAATTTAATTAGGAAAAAATTGAGGGTGAGGAATGGAAACCAGAAACGACGGAATTTTTTGTTGTTTATGTATTCAAGAAAGAATAATTTTAGTATTCGAGTTAAAGGTGGCTATTCTGTTTCATTCTTACGAACGTTATTTAATTTCTTCCCTCGAACATTAACCTTAATTTATGTTATTAATACGGGGCGTACAGTCTGCGCTCGTATAAAAACTTAAAATATGACTTACATCGTCGTAAAAAAGCAATTCTCATAGCTGAATTATCATAAACCGTCTCTCCAAGGAAAAGCGAGAAAATTACGCGAAAATGTAATAACTCAAATTTCTAGAGATTTTAATGATTGTACCATGCAATAACTCAAGATAATGAAAAACATGCATTATGTTCTTCCTATTGTATTAGATCTGATTCGTGGAGTTGTCTTAGAATAAAAAACGGAACGCTCACACGATCACTTTTTTTGACTGATCATCTAATCCTTAGGAGTTTCTAGAGAGGTATCGTAATCCCTCAAAAATTCCTTACTAACTCGACCAGAAGAGTCGAGAACATTCTGGAATGCTCCAGAACCGTTATGTATGATGAGCGGTGTTCTGACACTGTATTGGAGTATTTTATATTTTTTCCACAAAAATGTTCTAAAGAATGTTTAAAGTTTGGGAACTGACTATGGACCCTCCACACACCACTTTAAAATAAGTTAGGAGGTACTAGAATGCTCCTGCATGTTGCCAGCGTTGTCTTCAGTCGGAATCTTCTCGAATCTATCGTGGATTGCTCTCGGTTGGAACTCACTGGACCAGAGTCTAGAACATTCTGGTATGCTTTAGAACCAGTATGTATAAGTGGGAAGGGAGTGTTCTGACACTGTATTAGAGTATTTTGATATATTTGAACCAGTGTTTCAAAAACTGTGAAATCTTTTGTAATGCTCGAAATATTTCCAATTTCGTGGGTGTAAGAGTTTGCGGGTTGACTATCGACCTCCAAACACCACTTTAAAATATGTGAGGATGGACTAGAATACTCTTGAATGTTGCTAGCGTTGTCTTCAGTTGGAATCTTCTCGAATCTATCTTGGATTGCTCCCTGCTGGAATTTACTCACTGGACCAGAAGATTCTAGAACATTCTGGAGTGCTGTAGAACCATTAAGTATGAGTGGAGAGGGGGTGCTCTGGCACTGTATTAGAGTATTTATATGTATTTGAACCAGTGTTCCAAAAACTATGGAATCTCTTATAATGCTCGAAATTTTTCCACATTCGTGGGTGTTGGGGTTTGCGGGTCTACTATCGACCCCCCAAATACCACTTTAAAATAAGTAAGAATGCACCAGAATGCTCTTAAATGTTGCTAGCGTTGTCCTCAGTAATAATCTTCTCGAATCTATGTAGGATTGCTCTCGGTTAGAACTTACTAACTAGGCCAGAAGAGTCGAGAACATTCTGGAATGTTCTATAACCATTATGATTAGGGAGGGAAGATTCAGAACACCTTATATTAGAACATTTTATATATATAAAAGATGTTTGAAATTTCGTATAGTGCTCAAAATATTTTTAGTTTGGTGGGTATGGGGGTTTGCGAGTTGACTATTGACCATCAAACACCATTTTAGAATAAGTGAATAATAGAATAATCTTGAATGATTCTAACGTTGTACTGGGTTAAAATGCTCTCATGTCTCTAGGTAAAATGTTCCAGGATAAGTTGGACCAAAATAATTGAGAGCATTACGGAATGTTCAAGATCCATAATGTATCACTGGGAGAGGTGTTCTGTTATTATATTAAGGCATTTTATATATATTTTAACAAAAGTGTTAAAAAGTGTTTGGCATCACCGATAATGTTCGAATTTTTTTCAATTCGGTGAAACTATATCCAATACTACTATACATTGATAACCTGAAAGCCTAAGAAATCTCCATTTGGTTATTAGTTTGTGGCACTGAATGGATAAGCAAATATGACACAATTTTACTTTTCAAACCGAGTCTTCCTCCAAAATGCAAAGTAAAATAATTGTCTTTTATATATTTTGGCTTTGTTTTTCGGCAATTTACTGAATTGACAAAATTACTGTTTTCTCCTTGCGAAAAAACTAAACAGTTTTAAAATTGTCGACCACAGTCGGCAAGATTATTAACAAAGTCTTCGCAAATTGAAGTTAACGAACTGCGAATTTTTAATGCGAAAATATCTTGTAGTAATTAACGATCTTCTTTATAACGACTGAATACAATTTCAGCAAAGTGATTTTCGTTTACGCTCTGAGTTGCTCCTCTTTTGTTATTTAGCATGTAGTTTAGTTATACGTATAAAGTAATTTTCCACCACGCTTTAACGTTATGGCTGGTTGTGATAAAAGCCCGACACCCCAGAGGCCGTTGTTCCGCAAGCTTCTGCGCCTTTACTCGAGGAAACAATTGAAGTTACCACGCGTGGTGTCGACTGCGATATGCATTCAAATATCCACCTACCATGCCACCTACGTATGTATATACTTGTACATATGCCATGTATAAAAGTGAAAAGTACACATTTCAGTTTCCTGCAGAAATACACGAACGGCAATACGTTTCAAGTGTCATCACGCAGGGTTCAATGGCAGCTTGGATTATAAATTTCGCAATTATTTTGTGATGATTATGATGCGTTTTTCATGTTCAACTTTGATTCAAGTAACATTAGAAGTATATGCCGAAAGATTTGCATTGCTTGGGAAAAGAAATGGTATCGTTATCGCAAAGTTTTAATAAATATTGTGAGATCACAAGAAGATAGTGTGGAGATAGATGAACTAGGTTATGCCATAATGAGAGAAGAGTTCGATGTAGCATTAAAAATTTAAAGAATAATAAGGCGCCAGCTGTACATGGGATACAGGGGGAAATTCTAAAACATGCAGGACAACAGGTCGTATGTTTAAGCTAGTTAGACACATTTATGAGACGGGGAAAGTCCCGAAGGATTATAAACGGAATGTGGTAGTAACCATATCTAAAAAGAGAGGTGGATAGTGGCGAGACATTTAGAACAATTAGCTGAGCTTCCCATGCGTCAAAAGTCTTCACTAAAATTGTATAGAAAAGGATGGAAGAAATATAGGATCTGGAGAGGCCTTTCTAGCTTTAAGGGTAAGAAAATAGAGAAAACGATAACAAAAGGAAAGAGTGCGTACATAGGATTTGTAGATATAGAAAAAGCTTATGACGATGTTAAATGGGACAAGGTGTTAAATGTACATAAAAATTTAGTAATGAGTTACAGAGATAGAAGAGTGATACATAATTTGTATAAAGATCAACAGGCAGTTACAGAGCTGGAGCAGCAACGTAGAGAAGTACGTATTAAGAAGGAAGTCAGACAAGTATGCACACTGTCACCGCTACCTTTTAATCTATCCATCGAAGACGCGATAAACATCATTAAAGACAGTACAACTGTAGGGATAGATATATAGGGGCAAAAGCTAAGATTTGCAGATGATATTATAGTATTTTAGCATTTAGCAAGGAGGAGTTACAGACAGCTTTAAATAAAATGGAAGCGGTATTGACACAACAGTATTGTATAAAAATAAATAAAAGTAAAACTAATATACTGATATGCAAGGGAATAAAAAGTAGGAAAGGAGCGATTATAAAGATAGGAGACGAAAGATTAAAAGAAGTGGCTGATTTTAGATATCTAGGAAGTCAGATAAGTCAGGACGGAGGGAGTAGTAGGGATATAGAGTAGAGGATAGCGCAGGGTCGTGTCGCCTTTAATAAAAAGAAGTCACTTCTATGCTCGCCAACGGTTAATTTACAAATTCGAAAACGGTTTTTAAAGGTATATATTTGGAGCACGGCGCGAAACATGGACAGTGAGCGCGGCGGAAAAGGTTAGAAGCGTTCGAAATGTGATATTATAGGCGGATGATGAGGATACCGTGGATAAAGAAGGTTAGAAGTGAAGAGGTCCACGGTATCCTTATAGTAGAACAGAAGAATAAATAGGTCAGATAAGTTGGTAGGACACCTACTCAGCCATAAAGATCTAGTCAGAGACATATTAGGAGCAGAAACAGGAGTTAAGAGGACTAGAGGTAGGCTTAGATTAGATTACTGTTCGCAGATAGTTAAGGATATGGGTTGTTCTAGTTTTACAGAAATGCGAAAATTAGCTCAGGATAGGAAAGAGTGGAGGTGCGTGTCCAACCAGTTTTAGGACTGACGACCTTATGAGATGATTATCAAAAAATAAAACTATTCTTCAGGGTAGTACCATGTCAGTCCTAAAACGAAAATCACTTTACTGAATGCTCAAAGGCATTTTGGTAGCGGTCGGTGGATATGGGTGGCATATGTGGATTGCAAAGTGTCGAGGTCTATCTTTTTCATTCATAGACTCAAAGAATTGGTCAACTGTTAGGGAAGTGATATACATAATTTATAAAAGTCGGGCGGGGCTGGGGAAGATAGCATTATTATTATTATATGAAATAATGGTAGAATCCTCTTTGGACTTATTTTTGAAACTGGACGAGGGTGTTTCCCCAGTAGCTAATGCTACGAAGGAAATATTTGCTTGTGTAGTATATAAAAGAGCCAACATGTATAAAGTGATGTCTCTTTGTTAAAAGCGAGTTGCCCTTTCGTTATCCTTTGCTGGAAAAATTATGAAACAATAGTTATATCTTTACTTAGAATAAAATAATTTGCTTCCTTTTTTGTTTCAGAATGCTTCAAGCTCACAGTCTTGGGGAGAGTGTCTCAGGGCATTACCCGAGAGTTGCGTTGGGAGATCTATTGATTGCTAGGCCCAAAGGTTTAACAGAACCAGAAACATGGGCCATGTTATACCAAGCAGTTCAGGCCCTTCAAGATCTCTTCCTTTCCGGTAAGTCTATTAGCTTTTTTTAAATAATGAAGTGTATTTCAAAAAGAGAATGACAATCATTTTCTTTTCTTAATGGAGCAACAAAGAAAGAAAACCATATTATTTCGTTATAATATTCGTCCTTCTATCTTTGACTTTCATACTCTACACTTCTACAATTTAGGCCTACTAATACGGCATAGTAAAATCATACCGAATGTGATACAGATGGGAATCTTTTTCTATCATTTTGAGTACTTCTCACTACAGTCAAATCAACTGGTATAGCGTGTAATCTTGTTACTCTTAAGATAGATCAAAACGTAACAAAGCTGGACGCGTGATCATTGATTGAGAGATCGAGAGCACAGTCTTTATTGATCAATTCGTAGGTGGTGGTTCGTACTCACGCCTATTGAAATTCTCCAGGGTCACAATCTGATGATTCGAGGAAAGGTCGGAGGGGTTCGCGAGTTATGGCTTTCTTTGGCCTAATAAATATAAACAAAATTCTGCGAAAAGCAACTGTTTTGTATTTAATCGTAAAAACGGCGCATCTTTTATGACCAAACCAGCAATAAAAGATCGGTCCCTATAGAGACTGTATATGAAACTAGTGCGAACGACATTATTAGAGTTGGGATATTTATCCACAAAAAATGCTTTAAATATACGCATAAATAAGTTACATTTTCCCAAATATATGCTTCCTTTTCATCATATAACCATTTTTATATACTTTGAATTTTGCTTACTGGAAATGTAATTTAAAGGGTAGCAATAGAATCGGTGGAAATTATTATTGACGTTTCGAATTTATGGGAACGCAGCGGGGAATTCAAATAGGTAGTCCTTCAACTTCAATTCCGACATCAACTTAAGACACTTATTCTCGCCTTTTAGTGTCCAAACGATTTTGGATGCATTCAAGCAAAAAGATCCGTTTAACCCCAGGGGTAATTTATGAAAGAACGAGATAATGGTATATTACGTGCATTTTATGGTTGACGTAGAAAGAAATTTAATCCCACCCTTTAACCGATAGGTATAATCTTTTTATGATAGAAGGCGTTTTCGTGTTTTACTTTACTCTTAAAATTTAGATCTCGTTTCAAATTTGACTTTCAAGCTAATAGTGTTCTATTTACCCAAATTTACAATGGGAGATTCAGATTTATTAAACTGATTAGAACAGATAACCGTGGACGTATCTCATTTTTAGGATTCCGTATCCCAAAAGCACCCTTACAGAAGAACAAAGGCTTTCACGGCCGGAATCCATAGTAGAATGAAGATTCGGGCTGAAGGGCCGTGGTCTAAGTGAACTGTTGTGTTCAGACGTTTCGTCAGCTACTGCGGCTGACATCCTCAGTAGTAGATTATATCTTGAAGTCTCGACAGCGACTGGTGAACCCAGAGACTTCGAGATATAATCTACGTTCACGTTGTCAAACGCACGTATCAGGCGTTTTGATCCCCCGACAAAATGTCCCCGGACAAAATATCCGTGACAAAATATCCCTGGACAAAATATCCCCGTGACAAAATATCCCTAGACAAAATATCCCCGTGACAAAATATCTCCAGACTGAATATCACCGAACAAAAGCCCCGATAATAAATTATCGAACCGATACTCCAATAAATAATATAACGATAAGATGGCATGGGGCAAGTTTGACAGGGTTAGGTTAGGTTAGGTGAGGTTGCGCTAGATTGACTTGGGTTGGATTGTATTATGTTTGATCATATGAGGTGTGGTTGGTAAGGAAGGAAACGTACGGCAAGGTAGCATGGCGCAAGTTTGACAGGGTTAGGTTAGGTTAGGTTAGGTTAGGTTGCGCTAGATTTACTTGGGTTGGATTGTATTATGTTTGATCATATGAGGTGTGGTTGGTAAGGAAGGAAACGTACGGCAAGGTAGCATGGCGCAAGTTTGACAGGGTTAGGTTAGGTTAGGTTAGGTTAGGTTGCGCTAGATTTACTTGGGTTGGATTGTATTATGTTTGATCATATGAGGTGTGGTTGGTAAGGAAGGAAACGTACGGCAAGGTAGCATGGCGCAAGTTTGACAGGGTTAGGTTAGGTTAGGTTAGGTTAGGTTGCGCTAGATTTACTTGGGTTGGATTGTATTATGTTTTATCATGTGAGGTGTGGTTGGTAAGGAAGGAAACGTACGGCAAGGTAGCATGGCGCAAGTTTGACAGGGTTAGGTTAGGTTAGGTTAGGTTAGGTTGCGCTAGATTTACTTGGGTTGGATTGTATTATGTTTTATCATGT